CGGGGCAGCTGAGGCAGGAGTCGCGGGGCGGTTTTTTGCCATCTCGTCTGTAGCTGATTAGCACCGTGGGGGCTGTCGGTGTCCCGTCTTAATGGTCATGGTGTGCACGTGTGTGTGCACATCCCTGTCCATGCGTGTGCTGGAGCTACGTGCAGAAACACGTTCTCTATGCAAATCTGTGTTTTGCATAATTGCGGGTGTGCTACGTGCATATAAACAGGTGTAGTGCTCTGTGCGTGGGTTATGCATATACGCATGTGCACGTGCATGCGTATATACATACGTGTGTGCATGTGTAGACGTGTGTGCGTGTACAGACAAGTGTGTGCATGTGTATACACATGGATGTGTGCACGTGTACATGTATCTGTGCATGTGTCTATACATGTGTATTTGTGTGTGTGTGTACTCACTCATGTGTCCATATATGCAAAATGCGTGGCTTTATGTTAATGGCATCAGCACGGGATGGATGATGTTTATTTCTGTTTCCCCATCATGAATATTCATTGCAGCGCTGCAATAGTGCACGCGCAGGGACACGGCGCGGCTGGCCCCGTAGTGCACCAGCGCCACACCATGTCCTGTATTCAAACGACACAACTGTTCCTGAAAACTGCCTCTTAAGTCGAAACGTTGTAACTCGGAACCAGTTTTCTCATAAGAAACAATGTTATAAATGGGGGATTGGTTCGATACCGTATTTTCACAAAAAATACCCCAGAATTTTGTACTCGATCAATTATAGATGAGTAATATAGCTATATTAATATATTTGTATTGTAAATAGCAATCATATTGATTTGGAAGGCCTTCTTTGACGTGACTTTGCTGGACGTTTTGAAGGGCTCTTGCCTGGAGTCTTCTCAGGAGTCTTGGCTGCAGGTTTTTCCGGAGTCTTGTCTGCTTTCTTGAAGAAAGTGTCCAAGGAAATGTGGACAGATGTTCTCCAGGGAGATGAGCAACGCAGCAAACTTGTTCACTGGCATGGCACTGCATTGGATCAAGCGCTGTAAGTCAAAACTGGCTTTGTAAAGTTGAAACAGGGTGTCAATTTATAAACGTTGTAAGTGTGAAACATTGTAACTCAAAACGTTGTAAATCCAGGACTGCCTGTATTTACTTTCCCACATTAATATTCATTGTGTCATTATCATATTCACTGCACATGCACAGGTACACACACATAGACAGAAACACGCATATGTGCAGAAACATATTTATAGATGCATAAAGACACATAAATATGCACACATATTTCAATACACACATCTACACAATCATTCTGAACACCCCTCCACACATATATGTACACAAACATCTCTATATATACACATACATATATAAAAACACACATATGTATATACACACGTGTGCATGCACATGTACATCCAGAAAGATATCTCTGCACACACACGTAAACATGCACACCCACGACATATGTGTACACATGTATGTGCAATATATGTATGTATACACACATATACTCACATGTTCACATATATACATAAGCGCACGCACACACACACTCTCTGCCTGTACCAGCATGGCTGTGCTATGGATCCAGGCTCGAGGGGCACATCTCCCTCCCCTCATCAAAGCGTAGCTGCCCATAACACCTGTGTGCCCTCACATAGGGGTGCACTGGGGGAGGCAGCACCAGTGCATGTTGTACACAAGGCATTATGGTAGCAGCCCCAGTCGGTGCCCCACCTATGGGCCCAGTGAAGGTGGTGGGGCAAAAAAGTGTGTGTGTACACGAAGCATTATGGTAGCACTCTGTTCCACCCCAGCACCAGCCGCACCCAGCCATCCTCCCACTCGCTATCTGCTCTGACAAGCCCTTGAGCTGCCCCAACACCTTCTCAAGCTCCAAGTGTTTGGCCAGCACCTGCCCCGGGCACCCGGCCAGGACGCCTGGGTTCCCGCCAGGCCCGGCTGTGGCTTATATAAGGGAGCCCAGATGCCTGGGTTCTCCTCCAGGCATCTTCTCTCTCCAGGAAGAGCACACACCAACTGCTGAAGCTTCCTTAGCCTGACGAAGGGTTTTTGAACCCGAAAGCTTGCTTAATAACCATTCTCCAACCATTTGGGTTGGTCTAATACAAGATATCAAATTCACCCAAGGAACCTTGTCTGCCTGGGTTCTCCTCCTGCTCTGGGAGCCCTGCTCAGGCTGGCGGGTGAGGGCAGGGGTTCTCTGCCAGGTCGGGACAGGAGGAGCCAGGACACCTGGGTTCTCAGGCGGGGAGGGGGAGGAAAGTGTGTCTATCTATAGCTATATCACATGAGTCATACTAGTGCCACTCACAAACACACACACAGAGTTTATTCAGTATCTCTGCATGAATATTTATGACGGCATTATTATATTTGTGTATGTTTCTGCCAACGCAGCCTTAATGTGAACGACACTATCACCACATTCATGTCACCGATACCTTTTCCCACCATTAGTATTCATTATGTCATTATAATATTCACTGCACACACACACACACACACATATCTATATAAAATCATATTCAGACACACATAGACATAGCGACCTAAGTATACACACACACACACACATACATAGACACCTGCATTTTACACACACACACGTAGGCACCAACACACGTGAATACACACACATGTATATAGAAACACACACATATATACACACAAACACACATGTAGGTACAAAAACATTTCTACAAACATTTGCACACACATGCAAACATTTATACAATACATGTCTCTAAAATGTATACACAGGCACATACAAAAACATACATGTACACACGTGTATAGAAACACACACACAAACACACACATATGCACATACACATGCATACAGAAACACACATTTCTACACGCACATATAAACACACATTTTTACACAGATATGCAAACACACACCCACAAAACACGTATTTACATATATGTACATATGTGCATAATATTTATGCATGCACACACACACCTACACACAAGCACACGTGCACACACTCCGCCTGTACCAGCACTGCAGCTCTGTGGCCCCAGACTCCAACCCCAGGGGGCTTCTCCCTTCACTTGCCTGGGGCAAAGCCCATCTGCCTACAGCACCCGTGTGCCCCCTATGGGGGCTGCACTAGGGCAGACACTGCTGGTGCATATGTACAGAAGACATTATGGTAACAGCTCCAGCCTGTGCCCCACCCGTGTGCCTAGTGGTGGGGAAGGGGGTTGGAAATACGAGGTGCATGTGTACACAAGACATTACTGTAGCAGCCCCAGCCCATGCCCCACCTGGGTGCCCAGTGCAGGGCAGGGTGAGGTGTGCATGTACACAAGGCATTATGGTAACACCCTCTGTTCCATCCCAGCACCAGCCGCACCCAGTCCCGTCCCCCCGCCTCATCTGCCCAGACAAGCCCTTGAATCGCCTTACACCCTCTCAGGCCCCAAGTGTTTGCCCAGCACCCGCCCCCACCCCGGGCACCCGGCCAGGACTCCTGGCTTCCCGCCAGGCCTGGCTGCGGCTTATATAAGTGTGTGGGGGGAGGAGCCCAGTCTTCTGGGTTCTCCTCCTGCTTGGGGAGCCCTGCACAGGCTGGTGGGTGAGGGGGCACCTGGGCTCTCTGGGGGGGGAAGCACTGGGGGGGCAGGGGACTGGGAGCCCGGACGCCTGAGTTCTCCGGAGAGGACTGGGGCTGAAGGACGAGAACAAAGGATTCTGGGAGCCCGGCCACCTGGGTTCCCTCTGGCTCTGGAGCCTGGGGGGTAAGAGCAGGGGGTTCTGGGAGCCGGGACGCCTGGGTTCCCTCCAGCTGCTGGAGGATTGGGGGGGCAGATGCTCCTCCCTCAATTGCCACGGACGCCTGCTCGGTTGCCAGGAGGTTGCCAGGGAAGTGACGTGGGGGGGAAGGGGGGGCATCTGCACAAGAGGGGAAATAAACAGAGGCCAGGCAAGGACCCCCCCAGGCCAGAGGGAGAATCCAGGCGTCGGAGGCCTGCTGGCGGGGCGGCCGGGGGGGGGAGCAGAATGCCTGGGTTCTCTCCTTGCTGGGAGCCCGCAGGCCTGGGTTCTCTGGGCACTGGGGGGCTGGGAGCGGGGATGGGGGCAGGGAGCGGGGAGCCCGGTCGCCTGGGGTCTCTGGATACTACAGGGCTGCGAGCAGGCGAGCCTGGTTGCCCGGGTTTACGCTCCTGCCCCGCACTAACTGTGCTCCCCCCCACTGTGCCAGCAGGCAGTGGCGATGGGGGTGGGGGCTCCCCCGGCCCCCCTGGGCTTCAGCCTCGGCCTCCTCCTCCTCCTGGGCTTGGCCAGAGCAGGGGGTGCCTACAAGCCGGTCATCGTGGTGCATGGCCTCTTCGACAGCCCGGCCGACTTCCAGCACCTGCTGGGCTTCATCAACGAGGTCAGTGTGTGCCGGACGCCTGGGATCTCTGGGCTGGGCTGGTAGGGCCAGGGGGCTAGAAGCCCGGATGCCTGGGTTTTCTGAGTGTGGAGCATGGTTGGGGGACTTAGAGGAGAGGGGTGGGATCCTGGACACCTGGGTTCTTTAAGGTGGGGGACACGGACCCTTGGGTTCGCTCCCTGCCCAGAGTCTGAGGTGCGATGTGCATGGGTAGGGGCAGCTCGGAAAACCTGGGGTCTCTGGGAAGGGGGCCGGGGTGGTAGCATGCTGAGCTGGGAGCCCGGACGCCTGGGGTCTCTGGGAGGGTTTGGGGCTGGAGGGTGTGAGCAGGGGCCCGGGTGCCTGGGTTCTCTGACTGGAATGGGGCTGTAGGCAGTTCTGGCACAAGGTCAGCATCTCCTGCCCCCTCCCAGGCCTGGGGCCAAAACAGCAGGTGGAGGAACAGCCGCTGGGAGTTGAGCTGGGGCTGTTGGACCGGCCCGCCCAGACGCCTGGGTTCCCTGCCTGACTCACCAGCCGGAAACTTCCCCTGGGTGCTTCCCCAGTGTCTGGGGGTGGGAGAGACAGAGAACGGGACCGGTTGGGGGGATGGCTGCAGGTTTGGGAGTGAGGGGTACCTGGGGTCTCTAACCCTGTCCCTCGTCCCCCCACTCCGCAGACACACCCAGGCACCAACGTGACAGTGGTTGACCTGTTTGACCGCAGCGAGAGCCTCCGGCCGCTCTGGCTCCAGGTCGAAGGTTTCCGCCATGCCATCGCCCCCATCATGGCCAACGCAGCTGACGGCGTCCACCTGCTCTGCTACTCCCAAGGTGCCCCTCACTCCCCACCTGCAGCCCCCTCCACCAGCCTGGTGCCCCTCACTCACAACCCACTGCCCCCTGCCCGGCCAGTGCCCCTCACTCCCAACCTGCGGCCTCCTGCTCCCCCTGTTCCCGGCCCCTTCCACCACAGACCACCTGCCTTTGCTGGCAGAGAGCTGGGGTAATTAAGGGGGGCTCCCAGACACCTTAGATCCCCACCCCAGCTTCATATTCATCCCCTTGGTCCTGCTGAGGGACTGTTCAGGGGTGACACTCCATTGCCCAGACTAAGGAGGCCTCCTCATTAAGGGCTCTTGCCCCCACTGTGCTGGAGGGAGGGATGTGGTGCCCCCATGGGCCACCAGAGGGCAGACGGGCACCGCCATGTGGTGGGCGAGGGGGAGGGGGGTGCACAGGCCGAGGCTGGGGCATCTCCAGCCTGTGATGACCCCCCTGTTTCTACCCCTACTCCTCAGGGGGCCTCATCTGCCGGGCGCTGCTGTGCACAATGCCAGAGCACAACGTGGACACCTTCATCTCCCTCTCGGCCCCACAGATGGGGCAGTATGGTGGTGAGCGGGCGCTGCGAGGCGGGAGTGAGGGGCACCGCTGGAGCTAGGAGGGAGCTGTGGGTCAGGAGTGATGGGCTGCGGGTTGGGAGTGAGGGGCACCGATGGAGCAGGGGGATGCAGGTCGGGAGTGAGGGGCAATGCTTGGACTAGCGGAGGGGGGGCTGTGGGTCAGGAGTGAGGGGTACCACTGGGGTTTTGGGGGGCTGCAGGTAGGGAGTGAGGGGTGCCAATGGAGCAGGGGCAGCAGGTCAGGAGTGATGGGCACTGGGGGGAAAGGGCTGCAGGTTGGGAGTGAGGTGACTGGAGTTTTGTGGGGCTGCAAGTCAGGAGTGTGGGACACCAGCCAAGCCAGGGGCTCTGTGGGTTGGGAGTGGGGGGCACCAGTGATGTTCTGGGGGCCTGCAGGTTGACAGTGGGGGGGTACCAATCAGGCTGGGGGGCTGCAGGGCAGGAGTGAAGGGCACCAATGGAGCAGGGGGCTGCTGGTTGGGAGTGGGGGGCTTCCCTGACCCCCGTCCCCTGCTGTCTTGCCCCCCAGACACTGTCTACCTGAAGTGGTTGTTCCCCCAGCACATGAAGACCAACATCTACCGCATCTGCTACACACAGCTGGGCCAGGATGTCTCCATCTGCAACTACTGGAACGGTCAGAG